AAAGGAACTCCAACCGCATTCGATCCGGACCCCTGTGAGGGCTTTGGGGGAACTCCCTCCCTACATGCTTTATTTGAGTCTCCACCCCCAGAATCTCCAGCTTTGGAAAGTGGCCTGGATAGGGAAGTTGTTTTCCTTTTAAAGAAGGACATGTAATAATAATATTTCCCCTGCCAACGTGAAAAGATTAACATGAGACCAGAACCCAGACCACCAACGACTGCATTCTGTGGGAGGGTGTTTCCACATCTTATCTCCTGGTACCCACTCCTGGGATGGGGTGCTGAGAACTGTCCCCAAGCAATGGGTGGTGATGACAGGCAAAAGGGATGGTTGGGGAACAGCTGCAGACCTGCAGCTCCTCAGCTCACAACCACCCCATTTCTGGACCAATACATGGTATTTATTGGGTCCCTTGGCTAACCTCGGGTCCCACTCTCTCCAGGATGCAACTGCGCGAATGAGGTCTCTTGTGCATTTAGACTTTTTCTTCTTCTTTTTGTAATATGAATATTCTGGGTTTGTACTTTTGTGTATTTTAATCTACAGACCTCATTCCTGCACTGTGTTCTCAGGTACATGAGCAATCTCAGGGATAAGTGGGCAGGAGCTCGGGGTCTGCACAGCAGGAATACTTTGTTTTATCATCAGGGACAACACCTATATGGAGTGTATAGTCTATTGAACTACCTCATTTTTGCCAATTAGAGCTGGCTTTTCTGCCATAGTATCCTCTTTTTTTTTTTTTTAATATATATTTTATTGATTTTTTTACAGAGAGGAAGGGAGAGGGATAGAGAGTTAGAAACATCAATGAGAGAGAAACATCGATCAGCTGCCTCCTGCACACCCCCTACTGGGGATGTGCTCACAACCAAGGTACATGCCCTTGACCGGAATTGAACCTGGGACCATTCAGTCCGCAGGCCGACACTCCATCCACTGAGCCAAACCAGTTAGGACCATAGTATCCTCTTGAAACCCCTCCACCTTCAATGTTTTGTGGAAGACTAGATTTTAATGGGGTAGCCTCATTACTTGATCTCTTACTAGAAGATTGTAAATTGGTCTGAACAGGAATCAGTGGTTGGTGCAAAGGTTAGGAGAGGCTGGCTAGGTGAAAGGCACAGAGGGGAAGCCAAGATTAGATGCAGTTTGTCTATATATGTGTAACTAAGGATCCCTGATCCCATACCTGTAATCCCAGGGGTTTGGGACTCAACATTACATACCAGATCCATCCCTAACTGGATTGAGCTAGGCCTACCAGGCACAACAAGGTGTATGTGTGTGTTGATAAAGAGAGCTTTTAAGAACACTTACCATGCCCTGACCGGTTTGGCTCAATGGATAGAGCCTCGGCCTGCGGACTCAAGGGTCCCAGGTTCGATTCCGGTCAAAGGCATGTACCTTGGTTGCGGGCACATCCCCAGTAGGGGGTGTGCAGGAGGCAGCTGATTGATGTTTCTCTCTCATCGATGTTTCTGGCTCTCTGTCCCTCTCCCTTCCTCTCTGTAAAAAATCAATAAAATATATTTTTTTAAAAAAAGAACACTTACCTCTCTACCCATCTTGAGCTGCCTAGGGGTGGATATATGAAGCAACGACTAAATTCCTTAACCTTTAAAAACTCTTTGCTTTTTCTCTTTGGCTTCCAGAGAGACCATAAGCAATGGCTTCTCTGTGGTGCTCAGCCAGTGCCCTTCCCGCTGCAGCAATGATTAGTGCCTTAGTAGCTAAAGGAGAAAAGCGGGTTTCGTTAACAGGCTGTGAGATCACTGAAAACCTACCTCTCTGTGTTGAAACGGGGCAAATGCAATAGGATGCATTGGGTGATGTGCGTCTGATCCTGGGATCTTGTCCCCCCAGTTGCTGCCCCCTCTAGTTATTGTGTTTGTCTGGGCTTTGTAGGACTTCACAGTAGCTGATATGGTGATTGCTAGGTGGCCTAGTCTGTGTAAATGGTTGGTCTTTCTCCATGTTCTTTTGGGGATTTATTGTTTACAAACTTCCTTTTTGTATTGAGAAAAGTAGCCAAAGCATCTTTGACAAAAGATTCTGCACCAGGAAAAAGGATCTGAAACATAACCTTGGGAACACCTCTTCTTGAAGTGGGGTCTTGAACCATCCTTTCTTTTTTTTCTCTTCCCCTATTTTCTATTTTGGACCAGATCTTCTGTCCTTAAAATTTGACTCGGACCCCCTTCTAGCCGCACCCCAAAGAGCCCACTTACCCACATGCATACACATTTAAAGTGTGGGGTGTCACCCCGTCTCTTCAATGATTTGTGCAAAAATCCTGAAGAAGTTAAGAATACTCCATCCTTTCTTCCCAATATCCTGAGTGAAGACCATTTCTTGATAGGTGATTCATGCCAAACATTCAGATGGCTATGTTTTAATCTCTAATCCTAGGGTAGAGAGCAGCAATGAGGGGGGCCTTTCATTTTGAAAGTGGTTGGGACACCAAGAAAGGGGAGATGAATGTATGTCCACGTCACTCAGGAACTTTTATGCCGGTGCAAAAAAACTTCTGTCAAAGTAGCCACAGGATTGTTTAACAGGAGAGGAACGAATGTAACTCCATGTTTGCAGCTAGAAACCAAAGCTTTGTGTGAAATCTTGGGGTGGGAGGGAGGGAGGGCAGAAAAGCATGTACCTGTTTTTCCCCCGATTCCATCTCATTTCTAAACTGCAGGGGACTGAGCCCCCTTGGGCTTTGGTGACCATCACTGGGGACTGTTTATTTGATGGTTGATTTTGCTGTGCTGGGTACTTCCACTTGCTATCATTTTGTAAAACACATGCTGACTTTTTCCCCTTCCCCTCTTTTCCCTGGGAAAATAAAATGAATGAATAAAGACTTATTCCTACTGGAAAAAAAAAATATGTGTATATAAATGAAAATAGACCAAATATATGTATACACACACACACACACACGTGCTTATATATGTATATACATACATATATATACACACACATATATATATGTGTGTGTGTGTGTGTGTATATATGTATGTGTGTGTGTGTGTGTGTATCTGATGGTTCCTGAATGAGCTCAGTCTTCACTCTGAGCCTTTGCACATTCTGGTCCCTGTGCCTGGGAGGACACCCCACCTCTCACTCCACCCGTTGCCAAAACCAGGGTCCACGTCCTATAGCTGAAGTATGGTACCTATTTGCTTTGTTTAACAACAGACAGGTTATATTTTGATTTTCTGAATTATATAAACCATTCCATTCGATTAAATGCCTTATTGACTGTAATGTGAGTATCCCATGGCTTGTGGTCATACTGGTCTTAGAAAGCACATTTTTCCCTCACCTGGGAAGGACAGCACAGTTATCCCAAGGTCAGAGGGCTCTAGACCCCAAACTGTAATTTAGAGAACATGCCTAAGTTTAACCCAGGTGACCCAAGGGCTCTAGGTAATGTGTTTATAACATGTTGTTTAAACTGCTTTTTGCAAACTAGGTTCCTCATTCCAGACCCGAGGGCTCTAGATCAGGGGCCCTGAAACTTTTAAACAGGGGGCCAGTTCACTGTCCCTCAGACCGTTGGAGGGCCGGACTATAGTTTAAAAAAAAAACAACTATGAACAAATTCCTATGCACACTGCACAGATCTTATTTTGAAGTAAAAAAACAAACAAAACGGGGCCGAAACCGGTTTGGCTCAATGGATGGAGCGTCGGCCTGCGGACTGAGGGGTCCCAGGTTCGGTTCCGGTCAAGGGCATGTACCTGGGTTGCGGGCACATCCCCAGTAGGAGTGTGCAGGAGGCAGCTGATCGATGTTTCTCTCTCATCAATGTTTCTAACTCTCTCTACCTTCCTCTCTGTAAAAGATTAATAAAATATATTTTTAAAAAAACAAAGAAAAAAACAACAAAACAAAACGGGAACAAATACAATATTTGTATCTGCATGTGGCCCGCGGGCCGTAGTTGGAGGACCCCCTGCTCTAGATAATGTATTTATGCCAATTCAGTGACCCCGAGACCCAAAACTGTAATTACCATGCTTAATTCAGCTTCTGTAAACTGCTTTTTGCGAGCCAGGTTCCTCATTCCAGACCCTGGGATGTAATCAATACCTTTGTGATTTTTTTGCCTATATGACCCTGGAGCTGCGACCATCTTGTTACTATGAGATTTGGGGAATGGCCCCTCATAGCCCCGGATTGCAATAAATGTGACTCTTGAATTCGATTTCTTGAGGCGTCCTTTTGTGATTCGCGGGGTACGTTACAACAAAGCCCCAGCCGTGGCCTCAGGACTCTGGGCTGAGTGTCCCCAGGTCCCAGGGCGGGAGGAGGGGCCGACGGCCCAGGACCCCACGACCTCAGAGGCCACCAGAGAGTGAGGCCCTGACAGGAGCCCCACAGCCCCGGCCCCTCAGCGGCTCTGCCCCCGCAGGAACCGGTGGGAACTAAAGGGCTGAGGGCCGGGCACCCACCCCAGGACCCAGGGGCTCAGGCCCGCGGTCACGTGACGCGGAGATGCCGCCTCCCTCAGGGCTGGTCCTCAGGGCGCCCCCTGCTGGGCGGCTGTGCTCACAGCCCCTCCTCCGCCCTCACCGCTGTCCTCCCTCCTGGAGGCGGCTCCTCCTCTGGGCGGTTGTGGGGACGTTCAGAGCCGCCTCTCAGGCCTCACCCTCTGCTGCTCACAACCACCCCCGGCCCCGGCGCCCGGAGCAGGAAGTGAACCTCCTCCCGGACCCGCCGCTCGTCCTCTCCGTCGCCTTTAGACACAAACCAGGCCTGGGTGCCCCCCTCCCGGCTCAGCCCCCCAGGGCCTCCCCCGGCGGCCCCGCAGCCCGGCGCCCTCCCTCCCCTCACACCCCGGGGCCCACGAGGACTCACTGCGCTGGACGCTGCGCCCTGGGCGGCGGGACCCGAGCGGCGCCGGCCCCGAGGCTGGAGGGTCCGATGGGGTGAGGCCGAGGAGCCTCTGTCGGCGGAGAGGAGTCGGGGAGCCTCGGACGCCCCGAAATCGAAGGTGCGGCGCCACAGGCTCAGACACACCCTGCCCCGCGGGGCGCCGCCTCCCCGCCCCCTCCTCCTCGCGACCGACGCGCTGAAGCCCGGAGCCGGCGAACAGTTTGAAAAAGTCAAAATGTCCGCCAGGAGGAGGATACCGGAAGTCCCGCCCTAACCGGATGCACTGGCACGAAAACGCACTGGGTGGGCGCATTGCCTTCTGGGTAATGTAGTTTTCTCAACCGCCCAGGAGAGGGCTGGCTTTCCAGCCCAGGAACTTGGGGAACGAGGTGAATTGGCGCTGCCAGGGGCGCTGGGGGAGGAGATGGGACCAGAGGCCGGGTTCACGGGGACAGACTGACAGACCCCTCAGGGGACGGAGGGGGACAGGAATAGATCCCCAAAGAGTATATACAGAGGGGAATGGGAAACATCTGTAATAGTATTAATAAAAAATACATATTTCGAAAAGTGTTTCAAAGATAGGTCAGCTGGCGGCGCTGTTTGGTTGAGCGTCAACCTATAATCCAGGAGGTCATGATTCTATTCCTGGTCGTGTTTCCAACTCTCTATCCCGCTCCCTTCTTCTCTGTGAAAAATCAATAAAATAGATTTAAATATATATATATTGAATGTATGTGATTTTTAAAAATATATATTTTATTGTTTTTTTTACAGAGAGGAAGGGAGAGGAATAGAGAATTAGAAACATCGATGAGAGAGAAACATCGATCAGCTGCCTCCTGCACACCCCCTACTAGGAAGGTGCCCGCAACCAAGGTACATGCCCTTGACCGGAATCGAACCTGGGACCCTTCAGTCCGCAGGCCGACGCTATATCCACTGAGCCAAACCGGTCAGGGCTGAATGTGTTTTAAAAAATGTTTAAAACGTGCCACTTAATTATTTTACACTAGAGGCCCAATGCACAAAATTCATGCAAGGGGCTCAGCCCTCACAGCCCCCAGCTGTGGCTGCTGCCTTGGCCCTCCCAGCAGCCCAGGCTGCCTTGCGGTCCTGTCCCCGGGTCGTTCCGGAAGGTCATCCCACCGGCTGGTCTAATTAGCATATTAGCTCTTTATTATATAGGATTTTATTATGAATGCTTTTGAGCATATTTGTTGCGACTATCTATACATTGGAAATAAAATATAATGATTTGCTACTGAAATATCTTAGCAGGCCCATGTAAAATGCCATTATTTTGGCAGTTTTAAACTGGCAATGATGAGAGGAAAAAAAACTGAAAAGTACTACAAACCTTGACTTCACTTAATGTACTATTGGATGCGAAGACTTAGAAAAGAACCGAGAAGAATGTTAGCAATGCAGATGAGCTGATCAGTGTATCGTACAAGTGGGATTTGCTAGTAAATTGCACTTAGGACACAATCTGTGAAAAATAATTTTGCGTCCTATATTCAAATCATATAGTGCCAAATTGCAAAGGAGTCAGCTGAGTGGTTGAGGAATGAGTGAAGTGAATACATATGTCTTAGTTGCTGCACTTACCTCCTCTTGATTAAAATAATAAACTCATTTTAAAAATTGGCAAAAGGTTCTGACCATACATTTCAACAAAGGAGGTAAAGTCAGCGTATTAGTAAATACATGCATGAAGAAACACTCACCATAAAAAACTTCTTAGTGAAATGGATTTGAAACAAAACAAGCTAACACTATACTCATTTCCGGGTCTACAATTTAAAAACAGTACGCAACCCGTGTGCTGGCAGGATTGTGGAAAAAGTAGAATTGTCATTATTGTTGATGGCTGGGAAGGAAAAGGGAAAGACGATTTTTAAAAAAATATGTATTTTATTGATTTTTTACAGAGAGGAAGGGAGTGGGATAGAGAGTTAGAAACATCGATGAGAGAGAAACATCAGCTGCCGCCTGCACACCCCCTACTGAGGATGTGCCCGCAATCGAGGTACATGCCCTTGACCGGAATTGAACCTGGGACCCTTGAGTCCGCAGGCCGACGCTCTATCCACGGAGCCAAACCGGTTAGGGCGGAAAGACAATTTTAGATCACAGTTCTGTTTATCATAAAAAGTAAAAGTCTCACCTATATTGAAATAGTCAGGTGAGTAAAACATACATCTATGTAATGAACTGAAAGCAATATTCCCAGATTTATTTTTAATACCCCAAACATGGAAATAACAAAAACCATAGACAGATCAATGGATAAAGTAGTTACCCACAGAACATCAGAGTACTCAGCAATAAAATATAATTATTCACATAAGCTTTAGTGGTTGAATCTCAAAATAACTGTGTAGCTGAAGGAGACCAGTATTTGTTAAAGACTACACACCTCTTAGTGACTATAAAACTATGAAAAATATGAACTAATCTTGTATAGGAAGGAAAATCAATGCATGGAGGGCTACGGAAGGCAGAGAGGGAGAGAAATTATGAACGGGCAGGAGGAGGTAAATACAGGGTGTGGCAAAGCAGGTGTAGAGCTGATGGCGTGGAAATTAATACAATAATTAAAAAATAAAAATACAAGAAGAAACTCCTCCCTGCCAGTGAGCCTCGGCGGGGTGGGCACCATCCCTTGCTCTGAAAGGTCACGGGTTCCATTCCAGCTCAGGGCACACGCCTGCCTGGATGCCCTGTAGGTGGCGTGCAGGAGGCAGCAGTTCGATGTTTCTTACTATCACCATTTCTCTCTCCCCCTTACTGTTTCTGAGAAGTCAATAAAAATATTTTTAAATATTTTAAATATATATATTTAATATTTTTATTGATTTTAGAAAGGAAGGGAGATAGAAATATCAATGATGAGAGAGAATCATTGATCGGCTGTGTCCTGCCTGCCCCCCATTGCTGATTGAGTATGCAACCTGGACACGTACCCTTGACCAGAATCGAACCTGGGACGGTTCAGTCCACAGGCTGACACTCTGTCTACTGAGGCAAACTGGCCAGGGCTAAATATATTTTTTAAAAAAGAGGTAATAGCCCTGACCGGTTTGGCTCAATGGACAGAGCGTTGACCTGCGGACTGAAGCGTCCTGGGTTCGGTTCCGGTCAAGGGCATGTACCTTGGATGCGGGCACATCCCCAGTAGGAGGTATGCAGGAGGCAGCTGAATCGATGTTTCTCTCTCATCGATGTTTCTAACTCTCTATCCCTCTCCCTTCCTCTCTGTAAAAAATCAGTAAAATATATTTTCTTAAAAAATTAAAAGAGAGAATAAATTCTGTGTTTTGCATACTCTCATGTCTAAGTCTACTTCTGCCCTAAGCTGTAGTTAACTGAGAAATGCTTATTTCACAGCTTTAGCCATATATCCAGCTCACCAAATACTACACTTTGAAAACTACACTTTGTTGCATGTCAGCTATAACTATACCTAAACAAAGACTTAAAATTATTTCCAAATAAAGACTTAGATATCCCTGTCTTGTTAGAAAACTAAAGTGGAAACGCTATATGGGCTCTACCATTTCTCCTCTAATTTCCTGGGAGGACCAGCCTTGCCTCAGTGGCAGCAAATATTGGCAAGCAGTGAAGACTATGGCCATCGGAATCAACAGGAATGCTGACTGGGTCACAAATGCCACATCCTGGGACTGACTACAGGATTACCCTTCCTCTAGCTTTGAGGTCTTGCCTGTTGACCACACCTCGAGGTGCACACCCTAGAGAAGCCAGAAGAGGACACAAATCTTTAGAATTTTCCCCCCCTAAAAATGACTTCAGCTGCAGGAAACAGTCAAGGGATGTCCTGAGAATACCCCTACACAAAGTCCACACAGGCCACAGGCCCTGGCACATTCATGGGTAACGTTCTGAAGAGACACTATTCACCTAATTCACTGCAGTATTTCCCACTCACTATGAATACAGGGTTTCTGGCCCAATTGTAGTTCTACCAGAGTCTTTTTTACAGAGAGGAAGGGAGAAGGATCGAGAGTTAGAAACATCGATGAGAGAGAAACATGAGAAGTACTGATCAGCTGCCTCCTGCACACCCCCTACTGGGGATGTGCCCGCGACCAAGGTACATGCCCTTGACCGGAATCGAACCTGGGACCCTTCGGTCTGCAGGCTGATGTTCTATCCACTGAGCCAAACCGGTTAGGGTGCCCTCAGAGTCTTATAACAAATGGCACCAGCCTATGAAATGTACATCACGGCACATGGCTCCTCTACAGTATGTGGGGAAGAATTTCCCTAAACCTTGCTGAGAATTATGTAGGATATACTGGGAATAGCAAATATAATTCATATTGTTCCCAGAAGCACAGCAGTGAACTCCTCTTCTGGGTGACTAATGAACTCAGCAATAACAGAGGCACCAGACTGCAAATCCGCACCACAAAGTCATGCGCCCTCTCTCTCAAGGCCTTGGTCGGCAATACAAAATCAGCCAACATTGGACAGAGAGTGATTTTCTGTGATTGCTATGTGCCTTCCAAAGCACAGAAAGTTTGGGACCCACCATATCTGTTCACCTCTCCACGCTGACAGAACACAACTTTCCTCTCAAATCATCCCAGTGATTTACCAAAAATAAATAAAGATACAAAATAAAAAAAAACACACCTTTACGAAATCTCATAAACCAGAACAGAGGAGAGCAAGGAGTTTGCAGGTTGGTGAATTAGAACCTGAAGGAATTCGTCACACCATACTGTGAGAACCGCCGTGTCCCTGAAAGAGGTAGCGCCTCTTAGCTGAGGACGGGAGCCCTAGATGAACCCTGGGTCAGGTCCATTCCCTCGTCAGAGGTAAAGGAATGAAGATCCTGCCAAGAGCTCAGAGTCTTCATGATTTTCTCAAGCACAAGTGAGAACGCAGAACGCATTTCCCCTGAGCACCCACGGGTGGTGGTGGAAGCACGCTCTCCTGGTGAGCCAGGTGCTAGAGGTGAATCTCTTCCACCACAAACACTCAGTTGGAAGTCAGTCAGGTAGTAGGTCTGGGCATGTTAGCAAGTGCCCTTGTACTTCAAGTTTCACTTGTACCTGAAACTGAGGAGGAATCTAGCAGCGTATGTTCCATTGTAAGGGATTTACATTCCGGTGAATGCGACGCAAAGTGTCTCCTTCAGCGTTGTCATTCTAAGTGAGAAAAATACAACATTCCCGGCACATTTAATGCTTTCCCTAGTGTGAACTCCAGGGTTTTCCATGAGTTTAGATCTTTGGCTGAAAGACTTCCCACAATCACTAGTCACATGGCATTTCTCTACTGTTAAGGCTCTTGTGGCTAAGGGAATGATTACTGCACCTAAAGCGTTTCTGACATAAACCACTTAAATGCTTTTTCACCAATGTGAATTCTGAGGTGTTTACTGAAGCAAGACCTTTGACGGAAGGACTTCCCACATGCTCTGCACTCATACGGCTATTCTCTAGTGTGAACTCTGGGGTACTGAATGAGGGTAGACCTTAAACCGAAGGCCTCCCCACAATCAGTACACTCAAATGGCTTATATCTAGTGTGAACACCCTGATGTTCAAGGTGGGCACTGTGATCTCTGAAGGACGTCCCACAAGGAGTTCACACACACAACTCTTCTCTCATTGTGAGACCATCAGGATATCTAGCAATAACGACCAACCGAGCATTTGATGTGACATCAGTAGTTTCATCAAGAGAAATAGAAAAATATTTACAACTATTTAAGTCTTTTTTTAATTGATGTTATACGTTTTTGTTAAGATCTATTATTCTGTCTTTGATAGTATTTCTACTGAGTGGTAACTCAGAAAGTCTTTTAATAATATCATCTTTATTTTTCATATGGTGAAATAGAGCTGGTGCACACCTTAGAATGTTTCCTTAACAAATTCTCCGTAACTGAGGGCTTTTCCATGCTGAGCTATGGAGTGAGCAATAGAGTAACTTGCTGATGTTAAATTTTTAGAGCATCTTACAAATTTAATGATGGAATTTGATTGACTTTTATAGAGGTGTAGCTGCCTAGAAATGTATTCCTTCCTTTCATCAATACTTTTTTCCAATAGCTGACAATGATTAGTTTCAAAATGTCTCTTTACATTCCACGTTCTGCTTACTACCGTTTCATTACACAGTGTGCACAATGATCTGTTGTTTCTGTCCATATGTCTTGAAAGGGTCGGCTGCTGCTACTTCCACTTCCTTTATCATTCAATCTTGCTTTTTTATTTTTTTGATTCTCCATCACAAGGCTGCAAAAATGAATAAATATAAATCACGGTGTTTTTTTTATAAAAGGTTGATAGGTTTCTTACCTATTAACTTTTTGCAGTGTTGTTGCACTGATTCCTGGTGCATAACAATTCAAAGATAGTATGTATAACCAACAAATATATGGTGCTGTAATCAATTATCCGACACGCAGAATGTCTCGTCGAGCACTGTTGCACTGTATATCTTTTTCTTCTAACCCTCCCACTCCTCTCCTAACAAACATGGCGATCAAGTGCGTCCGTTTGCCGAATGCACCTGAATGCACAGGAAGCTTAACTGAGGCACATGTTGACAATAACGAGGCCGTTTCCAGAATTGGGCATTTTGTCACTCGAGTAAAATTAACATGTCATGAGTAAAGATTAATCTTTTTATAGTGCAATTCTTAACTTTTTTATATTAATGTCAATATTGGAACAATGTATCTTGGATGTTTTCACTATGGATCTTTGCTATGCAACACCGATGTACAGGTTTACATCCGGTTTCAGAATTGCATTATTGATCATGAGTAACGTGAGTAATAATATTACTCCAGTGATGCCCAACCCTGGCCGTTACGAGAGACAAATATTTGAATTATGCTATTTTTGTCTCTGTCCGTGCGTGTCACCCAAAATGAGTTCGCGTGTCACCTTTGACACGCGTGTCACAGGTTCGCCATCATTGAACTAGACAGATAATAGTTTAGCTTCAAGATTTCAACCTACAGCCCTGACCAGTTTGGCTCAGTGGATGTAGCATCAGCCTGCGGACTCAAGGGTCCCAGGTTCAATTCCGGTCAAGGGCATGTACCTTGGTTGCGGGCACATCCCCAGTGGGGGGCGTGCAGGAGGCGGCTGATCGATGTTTCTAACTCTCTATCCCTCTCCCTTCCTCTCTGTAAAAAATCAGTAAAATATATTTTAAAAAAAAGATTTCAACCTACAAATTTTTCTTCATTTCCTTTTTACCTATGTGTGGGGAAAGCATGTGTCTTATGAAATTATACAATTAAGGGTTCACAGGACTAAACACATCTTGATTGTCATTCTAACATTTTATGACTAAATATTTCCAATAAAAGTATAAGGTGATAATGAAGCAGGAAAAGCAATCCTTTAAGAAACTTAGTATTATATATACAGCACCAATTCTCCAACGAGCTCAAAATCAAAGCCTGCAAAGTAGGCAGGAAGCAAACAAATTCTGCAGAGGCCACATTTGACAGTTAAAATTTGGCAACAAGTTATTTAGCTTACCTTCTCTTTTGGAGATGGAGATCTGGACTTTGATCGGCTGTGAAAACATGAGAAATTCTATTAAGAAAAAGTACTAACCAATCCCTTTCTTACAGTCACAATATCATGAAATGAACCCCCAAATTGTCCTGAAATTAAAATGTCAGGCTGCAATTAAACTGGGAAAAAAAATGCCCATCAGCTTTTGCGAACAAAAGCCCATCTTCCAACTCGCCTTCATAAAATGAACTGCCTTTATCATGATTGATCTGCCCAAAGCTCACCTATCAGAATCCTTCTCCATGCACCTACAGGTTCTAACAAGGGCCTCTTAACACCGAAGTTACAAACTGCTTTCTGACTATACCTTGACATTCCCTCGTCCAGGAAATCATCTAGAAGAGGCCATGTACAAATGAAGTTCTAAAGTTTAGTTCATTAACAAGGTACCGTGTTCCCACTCAACACCTAGGCTTAGAGTTGGCACCTGAAGCCTCAATAATTCAAAACACTTGGAAGTCTTTGGATATTGGTGCCATATAACAAGAGCATTGTTCAGCTTTTCACCCTTACCTGCTTCTTGGTCGTGAAATAGACCTGGATCTTGATCTTGACCTTGACCGAGATCTTAAAAACAAAAATTATACCAATTAGTCCACACTAGTAATTTCCTTAAACAACTTCTGAGCACCTTATTAGGCAGGCTCGGAATAGAAGCCAAAACTGAGCAAGATGCCACTCTTGCCTTCTATCAGTCTAAGATTCAACAAGTTGCCACATTTTCAACAAGGTCTAATATCAAATAAATAAGGAACTAGCATTTTAATTATTTGCTTCTACCATACCCAATGAGCTAGATTGTTAGGTAAGTATCCAAGAGAAAGTAAATGGTTTTCATTTAAGACTGATATGATTTGATTTTATCTTAAAATCTCTGCATTTAAAGATTTATAACACAATATCTCCCAATGGCATTTCCTACCTAGGAGACTCATCCATCATCTATAGTACTGTCAACTCCTTATTCTCTATACTTTATTCATTTCTATCACCTTTACAGGTCTTTTACAAAAGGAGTAAAGAGGTGAAGTTCTTAGTTTGATTTCTACCTTCTAAATTTCAGTGTTTAAGCGTCCGGCTAAACAAGCCACATTTACCCATATGTACACTACTATTTCCCTAACAACTTTCTAAGGTCTCAAATTCACCCCATCATGCCAAACTATGTCCTTACAACACTCTCTTTTTGTCATTAAGACGTGACAACCCAAATACAAATAAGCAGGGGGGGGAAATTGCTACATACTGGAATTACCTCGATCCTTTTATAGAACCAGATCTAGATCGTCGGAGTGAAGCGGATCGTGATCTACGAAGAGACACAGATCTTGATCGTCGAGGAGATGCTGATCTCGACCTAAAAATTAAATCAGAGGTTTAGGTCCATCTCCAATTTAAGTTTTTTTATTGCTTGTTAAAACTTGCATTAAAGATCTCTCACCTCCTTGCCCTGCTCTTGCTCCTGCTCCTGCTCTGTGAGCGAGAATATCGTCTACCTCTGGATCTCGAATGGGATCTAGACCGTGACCTATTTTTCAAGTTGGGAAAGTAACAAAATGTTAGATGGCAACTCGTATTTATAGTGTCTGTCCTGCTGAAATCAAGTCTCAAAACTATTTAAATTTACTATCTCATTTGGAAATAAATTCTGGGCCTATTAGTTGTCCAGTTTTTTTTTAAACTACCAAAAAAAAGATTTGTTAAAAGCTGAATTACATCTTAGAATTACATAATATCAAACACTGTAATGTGTATTTAAAATAAACCTTGCAAGTTTGCAGGTCGACCCTCTTTGGCCCGTGGTCTAGTAGATCTAGATGATACAGAAGTATCGATAGCCGATCGCTGCATCTAGATGTTTTCTTCAATCTAATGACGATCAAACTGACAGCCAAATGAGCCAGGTGAGGCTTGATTGACGCAAGAAGATTTTTCTAGTTGGAAATGTGGTCAATCTGGTGTTCCTCGTTCTAAACCGGAGGGGACCCCAATTGTAAGCCAAATTTACTGTTACGGCGATCACCGACTCAAATTTTCTGCCCTTTAAAGAATAAGGTGAAGCTAGGTGTAGATGACTCGAGGGGATCTGGCCTCTTATGCTGATCACCTCAAGGTGTAGGACAGTGATGGCGAACCTATGACACGTGAACTCATTTTTTTGGTTGATTTTTCTTTGATAAATGGCATTTAAATATATAAAATAAATATCAAAAATATAAGTCTTTGTTTTACTATGGTTGCAAAGATCAAAAAATTTCTATATGTGACACGACACCAGAGTTAAGTTAGGGTTTTTCAAAATGCTGACACGCCGAGCTCAAAAGGTTCACCATCACTGGTCTAGGAGGATCTTAATTGTCCGATTTGCAAGGCGCCTCAGCATATCATAAGGCTCGTGACATTCTGAATCAAGGCGACTGACTCAAACGAAGAAACCTGAAAGGTTTGACCAGGTTGATTATTAATATATTAACATTTGCCTAATTAAACAAAAATTGTAAAAATATACCTGTACAATTAACATTCAAAGTTATATAAAAATATTAGTTTCTGCCTTGCTAATAAAAGAATTACTTCATGAACCAGTACACCAACCATTCCCTTAAAATAAATACCTGCTTCTTCTTCGTCGGCTATAGCGATGACAATAATAAGCATAATGTCCCTTTTCACCACACTCATAGCATCTATCATTTGGATCAAAGGGATGTCGGGCAGGTGGTCTATCCAAATAAGATCTCCGAGGCATGCCTGTTGATAGTTCAACCCTCACTCGGGAATCACAAATCACCCTGTAAAAGAGAAGCAACAAAATTCTAATGCTAAAAAAAAAAATACATACGACCTCTGGATCTGGAACTTTCCATCCCTCTGTTTTCACAGGCTTCAGCTATCTTTGTAGCCCTTTGAAGGCCACCTCCACTCCCTTTCGTAATCAAATAAAATGATTAGCTATTTACATTTTCCTCTAGACCAGTGGTTCTCAACCTTCCTGATGCCGCGACTCATTAATACAGTTCATGTTGTGGTGACCCCCAACCATAAAATTATTTTCGTTGTTACTTCATAACTGTAATGTTGCTGCTGTTATGAATCGTCATGTAAATATCTGATATGCAGGATGTATTTTCATTGTTCGCGACACACAGGTCGAGAATCGCTGCGACAGAACCCAAGCTTAGCACCCACCTCATCACCCAGCCTAGCAGACTGTCCCCATGAACCGAAGTTTCGTAACTGGCATCTCACTTACTTGCCATCCAGGCCTCGAACTGCATCTTCTGCATCTCTAGGGTCTTCAAATCCCACAAAGGCAAATCCCGGAGGATTTCTTGCAATCCAGACAGTTGTTAAGGGGCCATAGTAACTGAAAGCCCTTTCTAACTCTCCTTTGCCAGCACCAGTTGCCAGGTTACCAACATACACCTTAGTTTCTGTTTAAAAATGCAAACAGAAGAACACTCGTTAGGCAAAATTTGACCCAAGTTTGAACGAATTCTTTGCACGCCCTTAAGACCATGCCAAACATTGTTTTGTGCTCTTCTCAGGAACCGAACTAACGTGGTCTTAAAGCCAGCAAAGTCGGCACATTTCTCAAGAGCTGGGCGTAGGACAAAGTTCTTCACGTTCTAAAGGGTGTCCCAAAGTTCAGGCAAGAAGTAATTTTGATAGAAAACACAGGTTTATAATTAAAAATTATAAATTTTTTATTGATTCATAAAGTATACAGTATAGGGCAGCCATGGGCAAACTACAGCCTGCGGGCCAGATCCGGCCCGCTTGAAATGAACAAAACTAAAAAAAAAAAAAAGACCGTACCCTTTTATGTAATGATGTTTACTTTGAATTTATATTAGTACACAAACACTCCATCCATGCTTTTGTTCTGGTCCTCCCATCCAGTTTAAGAACCCATTGTGGCCCTCGAGTCAAAAAGTTTGCCCACCCCTGGTATAGGGTCATGTATGGAATAGAATATCGTATGGAATAGAATATCGGGTAAATGGCCTCCATGGCTTTGCTGGCACATACGCCCAAGAAACAATTCAATTACTGCATGAGTTATTTCCTGGTCTTGTCATTTCCCCGTTTTGGTGACAAAAATTGGCCGCCCAGATCATGCGTTTTAACGCCGTTGGACTTTTTCCTTTGGGGTTTTTTGAAGTCTAAGGTTTATGCCAACAAGCCCAGGACCACCCAAACCTTGAAGGAGGAAGAATTATCAAAGAAATTCAGCCACATTTAATGCAAAACGGTCATGGAAAACTTCAACAAAAGAGTGCGTGTGGCCGAACCAGTTTGGCTCAGTGGATGGAGCGTCCGCCTGCGGACTGAAGGGTCCCAGGTTCGATTCCAGTTAAGGGCATGTACCTTGGTTGCGGGCACATCCCCAGTAGGGAGTGTGCAGGGGGCGGCTGAATCAATGTTTCTCTCTCATTGATGTTTCTAACTCTCTATCCCTCTCCCTTCCTCTCTGTAAAAAATCCAAAAAATATATATTTTTTTAAAAAAAGAGTGCGTATGTGCCAGCAAAGCCGTGGAGGCCATTTACCCAACATGCTATTCCATATATAACCCTAGGCCAGTGATGGCAAACCTTTTGAGCTCGGCATGTCAGCATTTTGAAAAACCCTAACTTAACTCTGCTGCCATGTCACATATAGAAATTTTTTGATCTTTCCAACCACAGTAAAACAAAGACTTATATTTTTGATATTTATTTTATATATTTAAATGCCATTTAACAAAGAAAAATCAACCCCAAAAAAATAAATGAGTCCGCGTGTCCCCTCTGACAGGTGTGTCAGAGGTTCGCCATCACTGCCCGATACTGTATCCTTTATGAATCAATAAAAAAAAATTTACAATTTTTAATGATAAACCTGTTTTCTATCAAAATTACTTCTTGCGTGAATTTTGGGACACCCTTTCATACGGTGGGGAAACGCCTCGAAAACACGGGAGCAGATGAGGAGCGAGCGGGATAGTCCGAGCAGGAGGCGGTCCCGCCCCCCCCCCCGAGTCCTGGCAGCCTCGGGGCTGGGAGCGCGCGGACCCGGCGGCGGGAGGCAGCGGCGGGCCCGCCCGGGGGGCCGGACCCGGAGGAGCAGGGCTGCGCCGGCTCCCCACCGCCGCGGCAACTGCCCCGGGCGCCTGCCCCGGTCCTAACCCGCGCCCGAAAGAGCCGCGAGAGAAGAGAGAGAAGCCAGCCGGCCGCCGGGCGGGAAGGGGCCCGTCCCCGCTTCCGCCCCGCGGGCTCGGGCCCCGGCCGCCGGACGGGAACGCGCGGCTCGGAGCCGCCGGTGGTGTCCGGGGTCTGATTCACCCGTCACCTCCCGGCTGCGACCAGACTCTCCGCTAAAGTGGCGGGAAAGCGGCCGGGAGACGCGCCGCCGTGCGCGCTCGCGATTGCGGGCAAAATGGCAGCCGAGGGCGGGTTGACGGCCGGCGGCTCCAAGGGCAACGGCCAAGCAGGGGCCGGGCGCCTGCCTGGGGTCGGGGCGCGAGACCGGAAGTGCCCGGGAATTAACTGGGAACTTGACCCAGACCGACACTCGCCCTCCCCGACTCCCCTCAACAGCCCGCCCCTACGCCTCCGGCTCCGTACGGTGCGCGCCCAGGCCGCCATGACGTACGCGGAAGGACCGTCTCCCAACCGCCGCGCCAACCGCCGCGCCAACCCCACGGCCTCGCAGGCCTCACCCTCTGACCTTCTCGGTACCGCCCGTAGCGCGACATGCTGACTGGCCCGCGAGCGAGCTCGGCTCGTCCAGGATCCGAGTGACGCGAGCAGCTGCGAACACCTCCGAACACCTCGCGCACCAACGGCCCAGCGGCATCTACCAGGAAGAGCCTGGGTTCCGGTCGATATATCCGCGGCGGCTGGGTCTCTCTGCGCATGCGTCACCAAGGGGCTGGGCGGAAAGGACACCGGAGCGGCGGCGCGTGTGTGTGGGCGGGACTGAAGAGCGTAAAGGACCAATCACAAGCGGAGGCATGCGTTTCCATGGGAACGTGGGCTCAGTGGGTATAGCGTTGGTTCACGGAAGGATCCCGCGATTGATTCTGGGCACCCGCAGGTACCTAGGTTGCAGGCTCCGCCCTGATCCAGGCCCAGGTCGGGGCTCAGGGAGGACACAACCAATCAATGTGTTTCTGTCACATCCGTATTTCTCTGTCTTTCCCTGTCTCTTCCAGTCTCTCTTAAAAATCAATGGGAAAATATCCTCAAGTGAGAATTTAAAAAATAATTATATTCCAGCTGGTATGGCTCAGTGGTTGAGCCTCATCTTGGGAACCAGGAGGTCAAGGTTCAATTCCTGGTCAGGGCACAAGCCTGGTTTGCCAGCTGAATTCCCACTGGGGGGGGGGGGGCAGGGGGCATCCAGTATGGAGCTAATCAGTGACTCTCTCACCATTGATGTTTTCATCTCTATCTCCTTTTCACTTTCTCAAAAGCAATATAAATATTTTTTAAAAGAATATCTATAATACTCTATAATAATAAAAGGATAATATGCTAATTAGACTAGAGGTCCTTCTGTCCTTGCAGATGAAGCCTGGGCTGTGAGGGAAACCAAGGTCCTGGCTGCCTACCAATGGCCGGAGGGAAGCCGGTGTTGGCAGCCAGGGGAAGGAAGGCCTATTCTTGCACGAATTGTGTGCATCGGACCTCCAGTATATACATATATGCATAGCCCATGGACACATAAGACAATAAGGTGGTGGGGCCTAGAAATGGGGGGGGGGAAGCTAGAAGTCGTGGTGGAAGGTAGACAGAGGCAAAGGGGGAGGAGAGAAATGGGAGGAAATCTGTAATAGTCAACAATAGTAAAAAAAGTGTTAAAATTTAATTGACCCAACAAAACCAAAATGAGTGTCGGCCATCACTTTTCCTCCCAACCCTTGTAAGCAAAACCATGCCTGTGCGTGTGTTTTTAGAGGGTGTGCCAGGCATAACTGTGTTCGGGAACAGGAAGCAGCCTGGACCAGGTCGGCCTCAGGTTGGCCTGTAATGTTTGAGTTCTTGACTTCATGCTGAAAAGATTTCATGTGAATTCAGGAGTTTTCCAGCATGTTTATTGAAGCTGGAGATAATGAAAACAAATGTAGGCCCTAGGATAGAACAAGCAACAGCCGAGACTAGGCAGGGCTCCTGCGGCTCTAGGAACACTGTGGGAAATAAGGGAGCCAAAGCAGGGCTGCAGTTAGCTCTCTGGAAAATCAGAGAAAAGGGGTCCTTGAGTGCAGGTTCAGGGGCTCAGCCACAGATGAGCTGCTGCTGCTCGTTGCTGCCCCAGCTGCAGGTCAGGTGGGGACCCTTAAAAGCTAAGAAGAGCCTGGCTGGCGTGGCTCAGTGGTTGAGCCTCGACCTGTGAACCAGGAGGTCACAGTTTGATTCCCCGGTCAGAACACGTGCCCAGGTTGTGTGCTCCATCCCCACTGTGGGGCGTGCAAGAGGCAGCTGATCAATGATTCTCTCTCATCATTGTAGATTCTCTCTCTCTCTCTCCCCCTCTCCCTTTCTCTCTGAAATCATTCTCTCTCATCGGTGATTTTCTCTCTCTCCCTTATTCTCTAAAACCAATTAAAATGTATTTTAAATTTATATATATGTAGTTAAAATGTACATTTTATATCAATTATACTTAAGTCAAAGTTTTAAATAATGTTTAAAACTTGCCACTTCCCAATTATTTTACTATTTTATTATGAATGTTCTTGAGCATATTTGTTCCTACTGTATCAGTATGTTGCAAATAAAACATCATGATGTGCTACTGAAGTATCTTATCATGCCAGTGTTCAGTGCCATTGTTTTAGCAGTTTGAAGCTGACAATGATGAGAGTATTTACACCAGGGCAATTGACAAATACTACAAACCTTGTCTTATTGTACTACTGAATACTTAAACCTAGAAAAGAATGTTAGCAATGCAGATTAATTTAATAGTGTGTCTTAGAAGTGGGATTTAATGGCCTTTAGGATTAAATTTGAGAAAATACACCCAGCCAGTGTGGCTCAGCTGTTGAGCATCTAACCAGGGACCAAAGGGTTGTTGGTTCAAATTCCGGTCAGGGCACATGCCTGGGTTGCGAGCTCGATCTCCAGTGTGGATCTTCCAAGAGGCAGCCAATGGATTATGTCCCCCACTCACATGTTTTTATTTCTCTATCAGTATTCCTTCCTCTCTCTAAAAGCAATAAGAACAGATTTTAAAATAAATAGGGAGCCGCTGTGAAAGCTTGCAGCTCTGTGGTGCGGCCAGGAGACAGTGATGCCTGCGGGCAGGGGGCACTCAGTGGCTTGTCTGTGTCCTGCTCTTCCCTCTGCTCACTGACAACACAGCCTCACTCATCTGGGATCTCAGGGAGCCCTGCAGCCGGGCTGGCAAAATCCGCATGTACCCGCGGATCAACCTCTGAGCCATGGGTCACTTCATGGGCAAGAAGAGTCTGGAGCCCCTACTAAAGACAGCTCCCGACGTCTATCTGGGGGACCAGAAACTGCAGAGGAGTCATGATCTGCTCAGGATCCTCCTGTTAAAGCAGCTCTAGGCATGAGCGCCTGCGGCCCAGCACCTCACACCCAGCATAGGAGGCCGCTGGTGAAATGCTGCAGAAGTGACGGCATTAATGAGGAAGACACAACAGAGTGGTGTAGACTGTATGCACCCTGGGGAGGTGCTGAAGGGGACCTAGTAGTGGCCCCAACTGGATGTAAGTTCTGGGCTCAAATCTCTGTTACTGCATTAGTGTGGTATCTGGTAGGGTCACCAGCAATATCACTAGTGCAGACACAAATTATGTTCCTGCTGTGTTTTTTGCTTCCCTGTTGAAGTGAATAATATCCTGCCCTTTATAAATAAATGAATGAACGAATCTACACTAATAAAAGACAAAGATGCTAATTGACCGCACCTTTGCTATGCCCCTAGCCACGCCCACCAGCCAATCAGAGCGACTATATGCAAATTAACACAACCAAGATGGCGGCTGGCAGCCACAGAGCTGGAGCAAGCAGGAGGCTTGGTTCCTGGGCAATGGAGGAAGCCAAGCTTCCCGCTAGCCCTGAGCTGGCTGTGGCCTCCGTTAAAGGCAACAAAGTTTCAATTATAGAAGATAAACAAATCCCAGATACCTGCTTCCAGCCAGCCTCCACTGGGAGCTTGGGTGGCTGTGGGTTGTGGCCAGCCTGCAAACAGCCATCAGCCCCTCACACAGGCTGACCAGGCACCCCAGTGGGGACCCCCACCCTGAAGGGGCTGTGGGCAGTCTGCAAACAGCCATCAGCCCCTCACCCAGGCTGGCCACACCCTCAGGCAGTGAGGGTCCCCGTGGGGAGCTTAGACAGTCTGAAAATGGCCCTCAGCCCCTCAGTTAGACTGGCCACACACCCCAGCAGGACCCTCCACCCTGAAGGGGCTGTGGATAGCCTGCAAACGGCCCTCAGCCCTCACCCAGGATGGCTACACCTCAGGCAGTGACCCCCCGCACTGAAGGGGCTGTGGCCAGCCTGAAAACAGCCATGAGCCACTCACTTAGACTGGCCAGGCACCCCAGCAGGACCCCCCACCCTGAAGGGGCTGTGGATAGCCTGCAAACGGCCCTCAGCCCTCACCCAGGATGGCCAGGCAACTCAGTGGGGACCCCCACACTAAAGGGGCTGTGGCCAGCCTGAAAACAGCCATGAGCCTCTCACCCAGGCTGGCCAGGCACCCCAGGGGGGAACCCCTACCCTGAAGCGGCTGTTGCCAGCCTGCAAACAGCCATCAGCCCCTCACCCAGGCTGGCCAGGCACTCCTATATAATAAAAGGGTAATATGCAAATTGACCCTAACAGCAGAACGACTGGGAATGACTTGTCACTATGACACATACTGACCACCAGGAGGCAGGTGCTCAATACAGGAGCTGCCCCCTGGTGGTCAGTACGCTCCCACAGGGGGAGCTCTGCTCAGCCACAAGCCAGGTTGACGGCTGCCAATACAGTGGTGGTGGTGGGAGCCTCTCCCGCCTCCTCAGCAGTGCTTAGGATGTCTGACTACAGCTTAGGCCTGCTCCCTGCTAGCAAGTGGACATCCCCCGAGGGCTCCTGGGCTGCCAGAGGGATGTCTGACTGCCAGCTTAGGCCCGTTCCCCCAGGGAGCGGGCCTAAGCCACCAGGTGGTCATCCCCCTAGGGTCCCAGACTGAGAGAGGGTACAGGCTGGGCTGAGGGACCCCCGAGTGCACAAATTTTTGTGCACCGGGCCTCTATTAAATAAATAAATAAATACATACATACATACATTTGTGAAAAAACAATTTTGCTTCCAGTATTCAAAACCTATGGTTCCAAATGGCAAATAAGTCATGGAGTCATTGAAGAATGAGTGAAATTCAAACATATGTATTAGATGCTACACAGGACCCCTTCAGCTTAAAATAATAAATTTATTTAAACAATTTTAAAAGATGCTGAGCTGACATTTTAACAAAAGAGATAAAGACAGTATAAATAAACTCATGAGAAAAACACTCACCATAAATATTTCTTACATAAATGGGTTCCAGGGCCACTATTTAAAAAGGTTAACCACTGCACGTGCTGGCAGCGTAGCAGAAAAACTGGAATTTTTATATACAGTGGGTTAGTGGGAAGGCAAACAGTTCCCCATATTTTAAATGTAAAACATTCACCAACACTGCAATAGTTTGAGAAGTAAAACATACGTCTCTATAGAAACTGAAGACAATATTTATAAAACCCCAAAACTGGAAATAACCAAAACCATAAATACACCAATAGATAAATTCAATATCATAGAGCACAGTACTACTCAGTAATAAAAAAAACATAACTATCCACATAAACATTAGTGTTGAATCTGAAAATAACTGTGTAGCATGGAGGAAACCAGTATTTGTTAAAGA